GGGGGAGGAGAGAGAGAGAGAGAGAGAGCGTGCGGGGGATCGATAATTCCCCGTATATATTCACTCACCTCATATACATTCGGGTGCCAAACTTTTGTCATGAAGCGAATGCTCGGTGGACTGTACGGGTAATCCGGCGGGAACTTCATGTGTGCCTGCAACATATAACAAATCGGGCCTCGTCAGGGTATATTTCTCGACTCCACGCTCGACTCGGTCGAGCTCCGGGTCGTCGCTGCGGGACGCCCACGCGCCAACGCGCTGCTCGCCTCACGCCTATCTCTATCGCGAATCCGAAACCGTTATCATTTCGGCGAGTTCAATATCCGAGCGCGTAGCGCGCGGTAAAAATGTGCCCCGCGCGTCAGTAAGGTCGCCCGGTTCTATTCTCACGGGCAACGTGGGAAATAATCGCCGCGCAGCCGCCGGTACGGCGCCGAAATCGGCGGGCCCAGGCCGCGAGTTATACCGGTTTTTTTTTTCCTCTTTTCGTGTACACCTCGCGCCTGTGCGAGTCCTCGAAGAGTCTATCGCAAACTCCTCCCGTCGAGAGCCCGCGTCAACTTTCTAGTCTCCTAGTCGCAACGACGCGCGAGGCGCATGAGAATTGGCGGCTAGCCAGAGCAGCGGCTTCTTTCTCATATTTTACGGAGGAAGATTGTCACTCGAATTAAACGCGGTGGAAGTTAATCAGCCTACGACCTGCGAGTTCTCCCCGACGCCGCGAAAGTGGAGCAACATGGCCGTTTGGAACGTCGGACGAGATAACGAGACGAGATGTAAAACCGGAGCGCGGGCCTCCGACGTCGATAAGACCCCGATATATTTCGATCGGCCTCGGAATCTCCGAGGGAATCTGCGACGATATCGATTTCCATTCCGGTGCGCGAAAAGGGGCGTCTGGTTGTTCGATGCAGGCTTCGCCGTCGGGACGCTATATTGATCGCGACCTGGTCATGGCCCAAATATCCACCTCGTCCTCCGGGATAACCGCGTTCTAGAATTAACCTACTTTCTACCGACTACACGCTTACAGTCTCACGAAAATTCCACTCGGACGGCTCCGCCTTGCTCCACGTGTATCTCTGTTCGCAAATTGTCTCGTTGCGGACTTTCCAGCCATTTTCGCGCTACGGTTCATTTTCCAAAATTGCTGCCAGCTTCAACTGAACTCGCGATTAATCCTTTTTCGTGAAAAATCGCACTTGCAATTGTTATTTGTCGATAGCTCTCCCACCTCGGAGTAAAGAAACGCAAGCGCGAGTCGAGTTTTTCCCGATGCCGCAACATCGATCGCGATTATCAGCGCGCGATCTTACGCGGCGCTGTCGCGGGAAACGTTCCGAGCTTTCAGCTTTTCTAGCCAGCCCCCGCATTCCAATTTTTATACGTCACGATAATTATATTCGTCGCTGCTCCCGCGGAGGAGAGAGATCGCGAGTCGCGGGGGATTTTTGCAGGTTGCTCCGCAACGGAACGCTATCACCTCGGCGTCTTTCGTCGCGGCTCCACCGTGTGACCTACAAATTTCCGCGACCTACTTCGACAATAAGCAACTCTGGTCATCGTAACGCGACGTTGTGTAACGCGAGTTTAGGTCACGACTTTTCAAACTGTCGAATCGTGTCACGCCTGGACGGATCACCTTGAATTTTCGGACAAACGAGACCGCGTCACCCGACCAGTCTTGACTTGAAAATGAAATTGGGAGACGCGTTCAATTTCAATTTCGTCGATGTTGCATACTTTTTAAGTGCGATTTCACTTTTAACTCGAAAACGAAATCGCATCGAAAGTCTAATCGTCAGCCTCGTATATTCTGACGTATCGTAAACTGCTACGACGCAGGGCTCTTGAAGGTGATATCGCGCGCGTCTTTATGCAGCTAAAGTTTGCAACTTGTAACGTTTGTCACATTTCCCGCTGGAATGACGACGCTCTTTTCGCCCCGCGAGAAGAAAGGAAAGGATAAAAATAACGTTTGGCTTTCTTCAACGTCCGCGAGATACGACAAATACGTTTCCTGTCGGGACAGGCGCGACTTCCCTCCAAAGATTCGCCAGCGTCGACTATCGATCCCGCGGTCATATTATCGCGAAAAGTTGTGGCACTGGCGAGGCGGGATGCCCGCCATCTCCTCGCGAGGTGAAAGGATAAAGTCTGATCGAGACGGACTTGGTGGAAAATGAAACGGCGGGGCCGCCGCGTCGAAAACCGTCGGAGACCGTCGGATGGCGGATCGATTTTTCGTGTGCCGACGACGAGCCGGCGAGCGATCGTCTTAAGCGGAACGAGATTAGGTGAAAGTTGGTCGGCCGTGCCGATCGGTAAAGGCTTGCACCCAGGAATAGAATCGAGACAATGCTCGATGGCATTTTATGTAACTTGGCAGCCGTATTGGCGCTCCTCGCCTTTTACCGAGTCGTGCATAAATTTTGATCGGGGGGGGGAGGGGGGGGACTCTCGATAAGTAGAACGTCATTTTGCGAGAAGATCGTCAGGAGCCGTCGGTTACGACCGAAAGAGCCTCGATATCTCCGTCGTACGTGTCGCTAGGGCGCGAGAGGGAGACATTTGACGCGTGATTACTGATAATTATTTTGATACTTGGATATTTAGTTACTGCGCGCCGGCGCGAAGGCAGATCGAAATATTCCGCTTCGTTTTATAGAGGCGGTGATCATAAAAAATGTATGAAGGCGCTCAGATCCGATTAGATTATGTGCATACACAATTCATTCAGCGCTGCATTTGTATCGGTGACACGTATCATTTTTTTTTTGCGACGCAACGTTCTCTCCCGCGATTTTAACGAGACTCGGTTCCGTTATAGTTACGTCGCAATACCTTCGGCATTGTGCAGAGTTAGGTTTATCTCTCGGGCTAAATAAGGCATCGAATCTCGTCGCATATCCGTGCCACGCGACCCTGATTCGTCCAAAGCCCGAGACACGAGCTTCGATCGAACAATTGGACAGCCGTTCGATCCCGCGAGACTCCCGTAACGGGGATATCGATCTCGAACGGGGGAGAAAAGTGGATGGGCAAAGGCGAGAAACTTGGTACCGCGGCGGAGACAACGAAAGTGAGGTGTACGTGAAGTTATTCATTCACGAAGACACCTCAAACGCAGCGTGAGATGAAAGCGATTGTTTACCTGAGCACGGCGCAACGCGAGCATCCACCGGTTAAGGGCTAACACGATTACGGTAAAATGGATAACAGATTAATCGGGTGCTCCGAGCGGAGCGGCGCGGACGCAGTCTTTCGAAATAACCACCAAGAGGGATTTACATGCGCAAGGTGTACACGCCGTTTGCAAGAAACGCCGCGCTCGTTACCGCCCGGTTACGTTGTGGGAAGATACGTTGCGTTACGTGAATAGGCGTTCACTCGTTCACGACGAGGCAGAGAGCGGTTTAGAAAGCGGACGGGACATGCAAAAACTTTGCAGCCGACAGAACTCATTTTGCAGTCTGGCGTTTAACCCGGGGCCGTCGAGCCCTCTCCGCCTCCGAGCGCTGCAACCGTTTGTGACGTCGAAAAATCATTTCTTTCTCCCACCTTGGCGTTTCGCGCCTTCTTTTTTCAGCCGAATCTGCAACGTGCTCTTCGCGTCCCGAAACAGTCTACTTTGTGCAGGGTAAGGTGGCCGTGTTTTCATGTAGCTCATTAGCGACTCGTCAAATTGTTGATCCGAATTCGGTTTTTCGTTTTCTGGTTAAAGGTGCAAAGGTCAACCGGGCCCAGGCGACTCAAACCGCCTGAAAACCGCCTCGACAACGTACGCTCGTACAACTTATCAATTTGCACAAATGTTTTAAGGGGATGCTGGAGTGATGCTGCACCTTTGCACCTTTTGCACTTAAAACTGTCTGTTTCGTGGAAACATTTGTGTAATATACAAATTAAATGGCTCACGTGTACAGATCGGAAGCAGCTTGCTATTCCGGCTAAATGAAGGAACGATGTGGCCATCACTGAAACTAAGTTTGTAAGTCTAATAAAAATTAATAGTGAGCAACACACATACCACATGCACTGTATGTGTGTGTCGCTCACTATTATTTCTTATTAGACTTACAAACTTAGTTTCCGTGATGCCATATTGTTCCTTCATTTAGCCGGAATAGCAAGCTGCTTTCGATCTGTACACGCGAGTCATTTAATTTGTATATTACACAAGTGTTTCCGCGAACTGATAGTTTCTAGAAAGGTGCACAAGTGCAGAATCACTCCAGCATCCCCTTAAACATATATTTCCTGGCTACAAAATAGAATCTTTCCAGGCACACGTTGAGAGTAGGCCTTAACCGTCCGGCGCGACACTTTTAAGGCCAGTTTCAGAAACGTCGGTTAACTGTTGCCCAGAGTTCAGTCCACTCCCTATCCTTCTCCATCTTATTATCTCAGAAGAGACGGAGAGTCGAGCCTTAACCTTTAGTACCTAAGCGACGTTTGTGAAACTGGCCCTCAAGAGCGAGAGTGGAATTTCGATGCTACACATCTGACCGAGGAGGAAATTGCTGACCAAAATCTTGTACACCAATGCCCAACCAATGCCCGGCGGGCATTACCTTATCTCATCATTTTATTTTATCTTATTTATCATGCTTTATCTTGTTTTATCTTTGTAATGCCCCAGCAAGGCCTAATGCCCAAGAATGCCCAAAAAATGCCTAGTAATACACCGTAACGTCGCAAATCTGTACACCACAATGCCCTCAGCGGTTTACCCTCGGCCTCAACCGTCCGGCGCGACACTTTTGGGGCCAGTCTCGGAAACGTCGGTTAACTGTTAGCCAGAGTTCAATCGACTCCCTATCCTTCTCTACCTGATTATCTCAGAAGAGACGGAGAGTCGAGCCTTAACCTTTAGCACCTAACCGACGTTTGTGAAACGTGGCCCTCAAGAGCGCCGGACTTCGGGAATTTCGACGCTACAGACCTGGCCGAATTTTTACTCGATTATCACCGTCTCACTGGACATCGACGCGGGAGCAATTAATCTTCGGCGAGTATCTAAGCATTGTCATCGGCCGGCGTCTAGGTAATCCCAATGAGTCGCGCGCGATCGTCAGAATTCACTTGGCAGGAGCACGCTCGAGTTTCCGAGATAAACATTGGCTCAAGGATGGGGAAACAAGGCGGTCGGCTCGTATTTGCGGCGGACGCGAAATTCCGCATTGTCACACGTGCGAACGTTCGAATCGTTTCGTTATCGACCTATAATTATAGGCGCTTGATTGACAGGCCGCTATTGTTCCCTCGTCTTATAAATTTGGATCGCGCGCGCGCGCGCGTGCCGTGACGATACGATCCGAATTTGTCGCGAGAACCACTTTGCGGCAGCCCCGCGCGATTAAAATACTCGTCGAGACGCTGCCTTATAAACAGACAAACAACCCTGTTTGTTTTAGTGCGGACTACAAGATATAAGCAACCGACTCGCGAGATTGGGATGCGATTTGTCAGGCTGCAATTTATTTTGGGTAGAGTTCCGAATAGGTGCACTGAAAAAAATTTCTGGTTGAATATGGACGAATCAGATAATTCCTTTAGGATTTACCAGAATTCCTGTAATCCTACAGAAATTCTGGTAAATCCTAAAGGAATTCTGGTAAATCCTAAAGGAATTATCTGATTCGTCCATATTCAACCAGAAATTTTTTTCAGTGTGGACCCTTCGATTCTTTCGAAACTGCACTATTTTTTTTTGTACTTTTGGACGCTGATTACGAATATGACAATGAAAAGTTGCGACTAGGTCATTTTATCCTTTATTTTTACAATTTCCACGGCAAATCGTACACTGAAAAAAAAATCTGTTAGATTCAACCAGACGTCTGTTAGAAAATGGACGAATCAGAATTCCCTTTAGGATTTACCAGAATTCCTTTAGGATTTACCATGAAAGATATTTCATAACCAGAAGTTTGGTAGACTTTACTACAAATCTGGTAAATCCTAAAGGGAATTCTGATTCGTCCATTTTCTAACAGACGACTGGTTGAATCTACCAGATTTTTTTTCAGTGTATCGACGTGCAAAACTATTAGCGAACTGGACGAAGGACGAGACACGCGGGGCGCGCACCGCGTCTGTCAAATTACACGGGGAAATTCTTGTCGACTCTCCGCCGTCCTTTGTTCCCAACGTTGGACGAGATACGTCGAGGCGCCCGCGAATCGGGGTAGATGTAACACATTGCACGTCGGCGATATCGCGCGGCGATAAGTATTCCACGTGACATTACGCTGCCAGGAATAGAATCCGCGTGCTGCACTCGCACGCGTATATGGATTTACTGGCGAGCCGAAGAGGCGGGCAGTCAATAACGCCGTGGTGCGCTACGCGTGGAAGGGAAAAGTGGAGTGTCGTACCCGACGCGCGGTCGCCATGCGACATATTTAAAAGCCACCCGTCAGCTCGCACCGGGGGACGAGCTTTGTTTATTTGGCGATAACGCGGGCGAGGGTAGGAGAGAGAGAGAGAGAGAGAGCCCGCGTTTACGAGGCGAGCGAAAGCGACCCGGTCGGCGAGCGCGCGCGCGGGGCGCGGGGCGGAAACGCGGGAGCGAGAACGCGAGACGCGACGTAGACGTAGCGCGGGGCGACATAACCAAGAAGGGACGACGGGGCGCGCACGAACGCGCAACATAGCCCCGCCGTTGCGTAGATGCACGCGCGCGCGGGGGACACGCGTAGCGTGCGGCGCGTAAACAGCGCACGGCCGCGAGTCCGGGATATACCTTGAAATACCCGCCCTGGTAGAGAGTGTCGGGCGGGCCGAAGATCGCGACTTCCCACTCGAACATGTTGTCCTCGTTGACCAGCTTGACGCGAAAGCCCTCGACGGGCTCCTCCTGCAGGCTCTTGTACTCCAGGGCGAGCGCCCGTAGCGCGCTGCTCGTCGGCTGTGCCATGTCTCCGCTCTACGCTTCTCTCTCTTGTTCTCGCTCTCTCTCTCTCTCTCTTTCTGTGTGTCACTGTGTGTCCAGCACTGCGAGAGCGGGCGAGAACGTCCCGATTCTGTCGCGTCGAGCGGTCGCGGGCGGTACGGGACGGAGGTCCCGCGGGATCAATCGGGGTCGCTCCCGAGCGTCGAACGAGGATCCGGGTGACGAGCACGACGACGGCGACGACACGCGCGCACACACACACACGCGCGCACGCACACACACACACACGCCCGCGCGCGAGCGAGCGAGCGAGCGCGTCCGCACGACTCCTCCGCCGCACGCAGAATCGCCCGGAAACGCGCACGCAGTCCTTCTCACGCGCGCGTACGGCGAACAAAGGTGCGCGAGAGCCCGTTGCCGTGCGACGACGAAAGTTGCGCGCGAGAGAGAGAGAGAGCGAGAGAGAGATGCCCCTCCAAGTCAACGATGAAACACCATTCCCGGCGACGGCGACGGCGACGGTGACGATGGCGGCAACGGCGACAACGACGACGACACGACACGACGATGGACGCACACGCACGTCTATCCGCCGCGAGGAGTCTAACAAAACAGCTGACGTACCGCTTTGCGTCAGCGATCCGACGTCGCGCACGCGCGATCCGCCCGCCCCGCGGCCTCTCACGGGTCCGGGGAGCCACTCGATTTAAAAAGCACCTTCCGCGAGGGAGCGCGCGCCGAGACTCGACGGCGGGCGAGAGCGCGACGCGCACGGCCGGTTACTCGCGGAATCGAGCCCGAGCGGGACTCAACCGAGGGACGGAAGGTGTCCGTGGGTCGGGAACATCGGGGGCGAGAAGCGCGCTACGCTCTTCCCGTCGAGAACGAGAACGTCCCACAGACCGAGACGCGAAAGACGTTCGCCTCGACCTGCCCCGTTATTCTCTCATCCCTTCTCAGAATTCCGCGGCGTGACTGCGCGGCGGCGACCCGCTCGCGCGGAAGCTAGCGGGCTGTATTAATTTTATTGAATCCGAGGCGACGCGGGGAAAAGAAGGCAACTTAAAATGGCGGAATCGAGCTTCGTCGGCCAGACGGCGGCGCGTTTTCGTTACGCGCGGCCGCTTCGGGAACCTTCCTCGATAATATTAGAACGTTCACCTCGCGCGGCGCGCGAGAGAGCGCATGGGAGGTTTCTAACGGGCGAACGGACGGCGGGAGCGACTGGTCGGCCCGAGACTGGCGCGATCGAATCGACGCGCGCGTCGAGAACGCGACCGTCGGCGCGGCGCCAATCGGATCGGGCGACTCGAAAGTACGCGCCAATCGCCGGCCGTCGCGCTTTTTGAACGTAGCCCCCCCCACGCAGGACGGGCGCGAGATTAAGCTAGGTCAAGGAGAGGTCGGTAGATCCTAACCTTTGACCCTCGAGGATCTACCAAGCGGCACGTCGGTAAAACAACACGGGCGATTTTCCGTTCGTTTCGCGAAAAGAGAATCTAGCCATGACGTAAACGCCACCTCCGATTAGTCCGCCTTTGCCGAGTCGCCTTGAACTCGTGAAACTCGTCCTCGCGATCCCTTTCCACCTGTCCCTCGGCACCCGAAAACGTGTTTCACTGGCGAACGTAGCGGTTTGCCAGTGCGATTAGAAATTAATGGCACGACTTAACGATCTCTAGATGCATTTCGTGACGTAAAGTCCGCTCGGTACAAGGATCGGGAAACACATGCTCGCGACTCGACTTTGAATTGAAGCGTAAAACCACTTTACCGTGTCGGTTTTAAAATAGATTAACGTGAGTGAGCGCAATCGGGCCTGTACTTTGCGCGTATCGGAATATTTCGTTTTTTTTCCTGTGACATATGAAACAACAGGCGGGATTAACTCAACGTTAAAAGGAGGAAAGTCGTCATTTTTTTCGTCACACCTCGGTTGAAACTTTGCTGACTCACGATTATGATAAACGATTAACCAAGTACTGCGTTCGTGTATTATCGTTTACACGCGCGGTTATGTTCCCCACGCTTTTCGGAAACATGTTATGAGTTGCAATACACGCGAAGGATATCCATTTCAAGTGCGTGTCGTGCGCGCGCGCGCGCGTGCACGTTATGTGTGCGTGATAGGCGAAGTAGGGAAGGCGCCGACCACTGTCGATTAGTATCTGACTCCCAGTCTTTCCCAATCCACTGGCTGCGTGCGATATACGCAAAATCATCGTCGTACACTAGAGACGGAGATTCCAAAAGCCAAGAAAGATGTCTGAAATAGATCCAGAAGTGCTCAAAGTATTCGGCTTTTGGGGCAGCATCCTGGTCGTGAAATTGATGGCGATGGCACCGTTAACTGCACGGCAGCGATTCCGAAAGCATGTACGTATGACAAAATATCTATATTACATAAAATTGCTGTGCCGTACGTCCATGATTCCCGCAGTGCAACGGACGTCTCCAATTAAATGACTACGCACATAAATCGTTCTAGATCTTGGAACCGACTGTCGCTGTTATTAATATTGCTGTAACAAGGAGCAACTTGAAAGTACTTGAATTCTTTGAGAAAATTTTACTTTATAATTCTAAGCGATAGAAAGCACGCCCCCTTTTTTTTCTTAATCAAATTAACGAGCAGATGGAAGTTATCTTATCTTATTTGAGCGTTACATAATCGTCGGAGACTACCATGCAGCACAGAACTTTGCAGTTACATTGCATAGTTTTCAAAATTGCCCTCTTTTATTCATGGAACGACACGCGAGACGACACGTCTGTTTCAAGTATCTAAACTGATCCTAAAATTGCGTTTCACAATGTCTACAAAAGGTTGCTACGTTGTGACGAAAATTGCCACACTGTGTTTCTGCAGCCTAGCTGTGCTTTAAGGGCTATTAGTTGAAATGGAACTGATCACTATCAATTGTTGCAGGTATTTGCAAATCAGGAGGACGCTTCGCTCGGAGGAAAGGAGGGCAAAGTGGTGTACAATGATCCAGACGTGGAGCGTGTACGCAGGTCGCACTTGAACGATCTGGAGAACGTTCTGCCTTGGTTCATAATGACGTATCTCTGGCTAGGAACCGGACCTTCCCCATGGTTGGCGAAAACCCTGATACGGACCTTCGTGATTTCACGTATCTCCCATACCATGTCGTACGCCGTTTTTCCACAACAACCTTTAAGAGCGATATCTTTCTTCGTTGGATTAGGAGTTACGGGCTTCGAAGCGTTTAAGACATTAATGTATTACTCGTAATTTTTACGTAAATCTCTAAAATCATCAAATCTAAGCGTACAATGTGATGCAAACACATGTATACAATGATGATATATTTTCTGTGGACTTGGGGATAAATGTTTTTTTTATACAGAGAGATATTTTAGTATGCAAATATTGTATAATGCGTACACACACTAACACACACACACACACACACCCATATATACACGTGTGTATAATGTATACATACATATTCATAAAAAAACGCAAGTCATGCTAAGTGCAAAGTGTGCCTCTTTATTACACATGTAATGGAATAAACGGACAATTTTATTCACAATACGCTTCATTAACGGCACTGGATGATATCACGAGCTAAAATTACACCTGTTATTTCCGGTAAACCCTCTTCGTATCGCGCGCACGGATTTTATTTTCCAGAATCCGTATACGTTTGCATTTAGCGTAGCCTTCGGTCGCGCAAGCGTTTTAACACATTTCGAAGGCGCATACGCGAACTTTGTCGTACGCCGTCGTCATGACGGCGCCGCGACGCCGACAAACGCGGGAACGTCAGACGTCGCGATGCGTCTGTGACGCGCCAGTCGTCGTCGTCGTCGTCGTCGGTGCCGCGGCGTCATTCGACGATCGACCATGCCGCGATTTGCGCCAACGTTGCGTTAATCGCAGGACGTTACGGTTTCCGCGGCGCGACGTATCGATGCAAAATGTCGAATTATAAACGTTCGCGAGAACCAGTAATCTCTGCTCGGTCTTCTCGCGCGATGGGAGTCGACACCAGAAGCATGGGGTGATCAAGAGACACGATCACGGGTGAGTAATAGTTTTTTAAATCACACATGACAATGAATAAAACTGCACGTAATGTAAATAAACAAATTTAATTTCTAACAAAGTAAACGATTAGCTTTTAAAAATACGCTGTATATTCCAACATATTTATCTTTAATCGCGCGACGTATTCTGTACGTCAACCGTAGATTAAATTTTCTATTACTCTATGTAATTTTATCACGCTCTTCATATCTTTTTTTTTCGCAAATTGCACTTGCATAAAAGTGCATTGTGTAGAAAATAAGCAGAGTTCAGGCGCCAGCGGCTGAAGAATGCAGGAGAAATTCCTTATCTCATATCCATGCAATTTTCTCCTTTGTTCCGACGACAAACACGGATCCCCGAGTTACACGCGAATAGAATCAAGCCCGAGCGGGTCATTCCTGTACCTGCACCTCGATTTCCGTGAGGATCATGCCTTTTTCTTCTACCGTGAACAGAAAAGCCAGCTGAACGATTCTTTCTCACGTGCAACGGTTTGCATAGGGTGGCGGGAGTGTGTGTCTTATCGAAGATTGGAATAAGTTTTCAACTTTTTTATGCTGGCAATTTCTCGAAAGGTCTAGGCGACTAAGTCCGTTCTTTTTGTTTTAGGCAGCCTTGTCAACTGTATTAATAATCAATAACGCGTGAGCATCATCCAATAATCGAATTTCGATTAACGATTTCACGTTTCGCTTAACTTTAGGCTTAGCTTAATTCGTTCCTTCTCTCTTTCCAACTGTTACTCTAGAAAGAGACAAACATAAATTAAACTAAGATTAAGCAACGTTTGGTGAAACCGTACCTCAGAGAAAAGCATTCTTGATAATAAACTATTAAGATATATTTTAGTATTTTATACATTGTTTTCATATTAAAATAATTCCTTAAATTAGCAATGTGTTCTTAGCTGGCACATTTTCCAGCGCCAGTAATACCGTAACGTGTCCGTCAACAGTGTATCAATGTTTGTCTACTTTCCGGAGCTTTAGACGTAATGAAATTTCTCACGAACGCGGTGCATTTAGACAGAGAGTGCGCGTAGAAAAATTCCTTAGTTAAAAGTTATCGCATTCTCTAATTAAAAATCCTCGCGTTTCATGGGAATATCGATTGCGCAATTAACTTACATTCCTACGGATGCACGAAAGTTCATCGTTTTATTTTATGAAATTTTATCGCACGATCTCTCGCGCGATAAAATTACCGTGGCGTATTGTGATATAAAATCATAAATCGTACACAATGCGCGCGTGTGTGTGTGTGTGTGTGTGCGTTACGTTGTTAATTTGCAATAACGTTGATGCGAATAAACAAATCTCTTCATTGTTTCATCAATACTAGCCGTGGTAACCACATCTAGGACATACACGTTGCACGCGAGCATGCAATATATATATGTTACCTCAAAGATGCACATCTTATCAGACCAGTTTTGAATAAAGAGAAGACGGTACGTGCACGCGGCCAGTCAATTAAGCCACTTACGTTTTCCAGACAATTCTGATCAATATTAATGACGCAACCCTGTGAAACAGCTTATGTATGTTCGAAACGAACAATAATCGTATACGCTGCTAAGACTTTTGCAACTCTTTTAAAAACTATAGTTTTTCCGTAAAACGCATCTTATAAAGAGGTTAATATTTTTTCCTCAACTTTGTTGAAACGTCAACGATCGTTCTGTGTGGAAAAAAACGCGGCTTTATCTCTGTATCATATAAAAGAACTTAAACGTTCCTGTGACACACACAGATAATTACCGGTCATTCTGTCGTCTAAAGATCGGTTGGACGCTTTATTGAATATCGCAAATATTAATTAATTGATGACGTTACTCTATGCAAGCGGTATGCGCGTGATTACAAAGCGGTGTATCGACCACGCACTGGTCCCTAAAGGCAGTTTAAGCACAAGGGACTGTAAGCGTTCACCGGGTGCATGCCTGCGGCGCACGGGAGAGAGAGAGAGAGATGCACGCGGTGCATCGTGTACACGCGGTTATCGATAATCGTGTCAATTTTCCGTGTCGCGTGGTCACGCCTTATACGCGCGTGCCATCCGAAATTGCATTTCTCTGTATCGGCTGTGACGGCGAGCGGCGTGCACCGGTGGCTACGATTCAATTTGTACCGGGATTAGTACCAAGATTCTAATCACGTTTGAGGTGGGTGCACTTCCACCCTTTACAAGCGGGGAACGGCCGACAAATTCGCTCGTCGTCAGAATTACTTGTTGCCAAAGTGGAACGGGCCCGCCCCGCGTGTTTTTGCACAAATTGAACTGACTCAGCTGAAATCAGAGGTTCCTCTTTCTGCGTGAGAACGAAAAACTCGCTTCCCTCCCTCTTACCCGTGTCTCCCCTTCTTTCGGAAATATTTCGTGCAAATTGTTGAAAAGCGTATTCCCTAAATCCGGAAGTTAGAAGGGAAGCCCAGATTACAGGGCGGCGATAAGAGCACAAATCGAGAACCACTGTTTGCGTTTTAGTGTCACGGTCGTATATGTGACGGGACATGCTCTCGTTGTACACACAAGCGCACGCGAGATCTCGGGAGTGCTTTGGCTCGAAGTTACTCTCAGATATTTATCAGTGTATTAAGAATTCTCTGCGGAGACTCTTGACGCCTGATAGAGAAACGAAACGGCTCGTGACATCATAGGCTGCAAATGCACATTCGCGGCTTATCCCTGCCCAGACGACCCCGACGCGAAATTTGTATGACCGCTTTTGGCGCGCATGTGCTCGCAATCAGAGCGCACGAAAACGTCGTACTTGAAAGCCCGCAGATAATCCTTGAGGGAGAAGGCTCGAGCGTTTTCGACTGGCGCGAAAAGATACCGCGGAATATGCCGACGCTTACCGCTCGCCCTTGGAAGAAAGGCCGAATCACGTTGTAAAGTACATCGGCCAAAGTGAAAGAAACCGGCCGATCCGAAGGATCTCGTAACGCAGTGCCGGAACAGTACACCTATTGTGACTAGGCGATTGTGATTACACGCGCGCGTAAATAACCACGTATGGTTTCGCGTACGATGACTTCACGGTGCCGATATAACTCGCGTTATTTAACTACGCGTTCGTTTCGTTTGGGCATTAAGTCAACGTGGGTATTTAAAACTGCCCGAGCAGCGGCTGGATCGCGACGTTCTCTCGAAAGAAACTGGAGACTCCAGCGAGCTGCGAATGCGAGGGGAATATATCGTGTTCGTGCAGTCACGCAGTTTTGCGTTAATTGGAGCTAATGTACCGGAGAGCGCCCATGCTTCCGGAATAATGTGCCGATTGTAGCGCTCGTAAAGGATTTGGGGACTGTAATATAATAAATTCGGAGCGCTCCCTAATCACTGGAAGGGGCGTCACTTTCCAAGACGCGCGCCGTCTGGTTCTCTCTGACGTCGACGTAACGATGCGTCAGCGAGGAGGTCAGGCTGCATCGCTTCGTCTTAGGAGCGCAATTACAAAAGTTTCCCTTTTAACGTTAATTAATGAGAGAGTCCGCCGTACCGTACTTCATTATGGCGCTATCCATTACGGAGGTGGCCTCTTCTCTCGAGTTGGGCATGCTTTCAATTCTCCCCCGGGACAAAGACCGTGCCAAACTGATTTACGGAGAGCGCGATCGACTTTTTCTTCATCTCGCATAAAGTTAGCCCCGTTAACCATAAGCATCCGCCGCGGTTCGTCCCGCTTTGCGAAACGCGCGGTTTCGGTACGCGGAGCACGCAGCCACGCACCGATATTTCGCGAAATCGATCCGCTGGTTAAGGTATCTTGCCGCGCGCCGCTATCTGGAATTCGATCGCGTCCTTCTCGATGGAAAAACGCAAGTGGCCCGATGAGCGTTCACAGGAATGAATAATCACATATGTTGCGTATGACTCCGTGCGAGTCCCAAAAAGGTCAGGAATAATTCGTAAAGCATCAGAAATGGCGTCTCGTAGCTCTAAGCTACAACGTCACGAGACGTCGTGGCTTAGATTTTGCAAATTTTAATCCGCCTCTGCACGTGCCAAAAATTCTAAATAACGTTTTTAACACTTTGACTATAAACGGATTACGAGATCCAAAGTCAAGAGAAATGTGCGACTGTTATCTTGTAAAATATGCAGAATCAAAATTTGTTTTAAGCGAATAATTCTGATTTAATAAAAATAGTAATATTTTAATATCTTAAGTATTGTTTTTCAATATCTCAGATACTCAATTAAATTATTCTTAACCGAGTAAATGAAACTGTTAATGGATGACGGAGTTGTTGCGGAAACGCAACGCGTCATCCGGATATAAATGGCAATCAAAGCGGTGTATTTAATTCTCTTGTTATGTACAATTAGAAATCATCCAGCGTTCGCGAGTAAATTCGCGCATGAAACTAAGGTCGGCGAAAGTTCCATTATCTCGTAGAACGCGAGGAAAATGATGACAGTAACGTTTACAACGAGCTCAAGTGACACAGACAGAACATTCGCTCACGGTACACGGATGACGCGTTCGATCGGTTACCGGTTCGCCTACAGATTTCGACGCATTCGCCAAATACGGCGCATCGAAGCCGAACCGAGAAGCCGCACGCCGTCTGGTTTTCTACCCACGCCGTGACCCGCCGTCGCTTTTTACGGGAAACACGAACGGACGGGCGTGGTGCTTTCGCTCTTTAAGCGAAATGGTCCACGGATGCGCCGCGCGAATATGGCTAACTTTTAGCGGACGTCGAATTACGGTTTGTAGGGAATTTCGGTGTACGTCACGATTTAGAAAAGTCACCAATTGCCACTTGATACGATTGTACTTTCGAAAGGTACACAATTATTCTTGCCGTACCCGTTTGACTCTGGCTTTCGGATAACGGCTATAATGCAAATATTAGAGACGGGGAGTCAGTTAAATTGCAGTTACCGTTAGACGAGTTAGTATGAAAGTTACCCGTAAGTAAATCAGTTTATACTTCAATTCAATTGTTACTACGGTCATCTGCATCTCTTCGCGTAGAATGGAATAGATCGCGATGCTATTTGTCAGACGGTATCTA